GTTGTTCTCTGATACTCAGACACAATGCATCCCAGCCATTACTGGGGAGTATTTGGCTGGCAGATGTGAGCTAGTCACCGTAGAATTTTCTGTCCATGTTTATGATAACCCTGGCATGCCCTGCTGGATTCTGGTGTATGTGCCTGGGACTCTGCTCGGCCTCTGTGTGGTCCCAGGCCCTTGTCAAGTAGCCCTGCTCTATACAGCATCCTGCCAGCCCACTGGTCACTTTTAACCATCAGGATAGGCACAGGCAGCTTTCAGTGCTGTTTGTTTTTAATTGATTCTAAGTGGTAGTTGTAATAAATTGTGCTCACTAGGCTAATGATACCTTTCTTAAATTGTGCCATGGCGTTGGGTACAACAGCAGCAGGATTGCTATTCTAAAATGAGGTTTGGTAAAACAAACAGGCAGGCCGCTTACAGGAAATGCTGAGCCGATGATTGATTGATGTTCTGGAGCTAGCCTCTTATTCTCAGATGTGCTGTCCCGTGAGGATCCTGTAGGGAAGCAGCAGCCAGTCCCTGGTTCGTTTTCAGATAACCAAGGTGTTGTTTCTTGTGCAGAGGATGGGGATGCCTGACCCAGTGGAGGCTGTGTTGGCTCCTGTACGGTGCCAAGAATGCCTTTCCACCCTGGGACATAGGACTCCATCACATCACCATGTGAAGGGGCTGATATTTAGGGACGAGGAAGAGAGCGTAGAAAATGTTTTCACACTAGTTCATGAAAGCTGGAAACTGCAGGCACATATCCGGGGCTTGTCAACATAAGTCCTGTGCACTTGTGATGTGTCACCCAACATGAAATGGGTAGAAAGGTTAAATGTATCTGAGAACGTTTTTAAGTCATTGAGGAACGAATCCATCGTAAATTTACTAAAACCAGTATAATGGCATGTGTCCATAATCCCAATGAGATGGAGGTAAAAGACTAACTAACCATGAGCTCAAGGCCAGCCTGGGCTACATAGTAAGACACCATCACCATCATCATCAAGGCAGCTGTCACCATCACCATCATCATCAAGGCAGCTGTTGTTGTGGCTAGCAGCAGCAGCAGCATTGTTTTTTTTTTTTTTTTTTTTTTTTTTTAAACTTTGGGGTGTTGGTAGAGATTTTACTTTGTGTGTATAAGGCCTGTGATGACAGCAAGTTTGATTGTCAGCCACACTCACACCATGTGGCTAACGACTTCAAAGGGCCGATGTTTCTGACCTCTGAAGATACCTGCACTCACATGCACAAACCACACACACAGAAAACTTTGTCTGTTTATTGTTATTTGTAACACGATAAATGAAAGACCCAGTGGCTGATACTGGAGTTCAGACTTCAAGCTGAAGAACAGAAAAGAAAAGTAGCAGGCCACTGGCTCTTACCACTACCTCAGGCTGAGTGCGCTGATCCTGCTGCCCTCCTCAGTGTGGCTGGAGAATCTTCAATGTGGCTGGAGACTGAATGCCTGCCACTGAATAATGGAAACCCTGCTTCTGTCTTTTATAGCCCACTAGTGCTGGAATTAAAGGCGTGTGAACTGTTACTCTTTTTAGGCTGACTCAATCTCATGTATCCCTGGGCGGCCTTGAACTCAGAGACATCCATCTGCCTCTTAATCCTGAGCCCTGGGATTAAAGGTATGTGCCTGGCTTCTATGGCTTGTGGCTGACTTCGCTTTCTGAATCCTCAGGCAAACTTTAATAAATCATAAGTATCACTACAGTTATTGTGTTTGGTTTTTCAAGATAGGTAGCCCTGTCTTGTGTAGCCCTGGCTATCCTGGAACTCACTCTGTAGACCTGACTGGCCTCCAACTCACAGAGATCCACCTGCCTCAGCCTACCAAGTGCTGGGATTAAAGGTGTGCAC